GCTGGCTGAGACAGATCTCTGGAGAGGGGCACCGACGGGGGCATTTCTGCCACAGTACACTGACAAATAAGAACAAATTTAGGAGGTCATATGTTCTAATCTTGGCTCTGTTACTGACTCTGGGCAAATCATGGAGTTTCTCTGCCTCAGTTTCCCATTTGTAGTATGAGTGAGAACACTTATTAGCCTCACAGCATACTTGGGAAAAATAGCACTAATTTTAACAATGCTACATAGAAATAAAGACTAGTTCTAAAGTTGTTTCTACTTTTCAGAGGTGTGTGGAGCACTCATGACTCCAAAATTACCTCAGTGGGAAATTGCCTGGTACTCCCACCTTTGAAAATCAGGTGTGTAGGGTCTACTGATGCCTGTGTTTCATTTAAAATGGTTAATAAAAATTCAAAGGGCTATAGTGTGCTAGTGGTTTTCAGCAGACTTAAACAACTGTTTGGCCAGTGGACTAATTTACTGTGCAGTAAAGCATCACAGTCTACATGTGTGCAGCAATTTGGCCAGTGTAGACTAATTTACAGCACTGTCGGATAGTCCCATCAGACACAGGTACTATCCAGCAACAGAGTCAATTACTGCACTTAAATGCATTTGGCCAGTTTCTTCCCTCTTTAACAAAGAACATGCAAAGAATAACATTATTATTGTAAATATTTGCCAAACATCACCTGTGACATTTTCAACCCCAAATTCTACTTTATTTAAGTGGAAAAACTAAGCTAGAAGAACTTTGGAACATGACAGAGCCTTTCCCTGACACAATCCTCTCTCCTTGTCAACCTTTTAGGAAAGCTGCTTGTGAACTGAAAATACCTCCTTTAATTAAGAGTCACCGAAGCTTAGAAAAACCTGTCAGGTGAGCAAGCTTACATTTAAAAAGAAAAAACAACTGAATTTCCAGGGCTGAGAACAGCATAATGAAATTCCAAGGAGAAATGATCAGGAATAGGGACAGCATGAATCCTCCCATTTCAGAAAGAACATCTTTGTGGCTGCAAAAAAAAATCCTATAGATTCTTAAGTGTGTTGTATAGTTTTGGCCTACCCAAGCTGGAATAACTGACATGTTATGCAGATGGATCCACAGCAGGGGCAGAGATACAGTTGCACACATCTGTCATGGTGTTTGATTTGTAATTGTGAGGTACCCAGAAGCAGTCAGATTTCTGAACGATAGTGTGACAAGAGAATGCCACTGACACTAATCTTTTTCTGCATCCTGCCTAAGACTGAGTTGCTACTCCAGGTCCCCTGCTCCTCAACCTCTCCACTTCCAGTTGCTGTCAGCTTGTTTACCTTTCTTGAGGGCTGAGGCGTGGTTGTTTTTGCTGGAGCATAGCTGGAAGACAGTAGAAAATCAAGATGCCATGTACCTAGCTGCTGCACACAAACACCTGCTGCCTGCATTCTGTTTCATCCTAGTGATTTTACTTTTGCTTTTAGCCAATTGGGGTCTTTTAATGGTTCATTGCTAGAAGAAAAAGAGGAGAGATTTGGAGCTCTGGCTTTGTATGACTGGGGACTGGGCCAGGATATCAGACTCCTGTTTGACAGCAGTTCTTTGGTGATACTGAACCTGGCTGGTAAGGAAGCCCTGCCTCTGCCTCTGCCTCTTTAAGTAGTACTTGGGTAATTATCTGCAAGGCCCAGAATAGTAGCAGTAGCTGTTAATATCTTCTGGTGAGATTTTCTTTTACCAATTATTCCTTAATGTGGCCTAACCTGTATTCCACATTCACCCCTCCCCCACCTTGACACTGGGCAGACACTTTTTATGCTGCATCTGCTGAGTTGTGATTGCTAGGACTTCCCATCCCTGCCACCCCTTGATGCCTTGCTTCCATGTTTAGACCATTCTCTGCCCCGCATCCCTCCATCTTGCCATCTCTCTGTCACATCTTGCCATGTCCCAAACCTTTCTGAGCATTTACATGCACATGCATACAGACAAACTGAAGCAGGTAAAAAAAAGATACAGTTGGCTTGACTTTCTAATGCCTGGCACCTTGTGACTTCATATATAGTTTTACATCACTGAAGAATGCAAAATGGTCTCAGTTTGGATGCTGTTGGGTTTTTCACCAGTTGTCCCTTGCAGGACCCCCTGGGCTGCCCTCTTTCAGCCTGACCTGACCTGACCTGGGTGCTTCTGCACTGGCTTCTGTGTATGTGGCAGGGTCCTGCTGTGCCTGGGTTGAACTGCTCACTGGCCACCTTGGGAGGGAGAACGCCTGGCTGGATCCCCAATGCCCCAGCAGTGGGGATAGCATTGAATTCTGTTCTAGGCATTTTGGCCTCAGGGGAAGCAGTTCAACTCCTTCCGGTGGTGAGGTGATCATCCACATTTTTCCCAGATGCTTTGCCTGTGGGATAGATATGCATCAATTTTCTGAGTGTGCTGGCCTTGGGGAAAGGTTCTGGGTCCCTTCCAGCAGCAGGGAGAGTGTCCAGAACCATTTCTGGTATGTTTCCCCTGGTGCCTCTCCTTCCAGGCTTGCTTTTAGCCAGTTGTCCCTGGGCCCCAGGCCAATCAGCAGGGCTCTTCTGGTCAGCACGGTGCCGGCCGGCTTGATTGTAGACTAGCCACCTGAGCTGCAGTACTGAGGTGTCAGGTGGGGGCCTGTTACACACTGTCATATTAGTTTTGATCCCACTGAATTCAGTGGAGTTCCTCAGGATATGTGCCAACATAAAAAAGATGAAAATCAGGTCCTGTTGTTTTCTTTTCAGTTGTATTTTACACCCATTTTGCACAGATGTAAATAAGGAAATTGTGGCCCAGAGTGCTACAGACTTTGCTTTCACAGCCAAAAGAGGCAGGCTTTGTTTAGGGTAGGATAATACATTCAATCTCACAGCAAAACACTAGTAGAAACTTGGCTCTGCAGTTTTACTGCAGTGTAAACTAGGTGAGGCCAACCATAGGCCCAGCTATAGTATTGACCCCCTTAACCACACAGTGGGCATGTCTACACATGCACTTGAGCACTTTTTCTAATGTGCATTAAATTTAGTACCTCCAATGTGAGTTCCTAAGAAATGTGTATTAGGCTGCCTTAATGAGCAGTAATGAATGCGCGTGGTTTTTAAGTGATGCTAATGCACAGTAAAATAGGCTACTGTGCATTAAAGCACACATGTAGATGCATCCAGTGAAAACTGTAAGTGCTTTGACTCCACTCAAATAGTCAGGGAGGCAGCTAACATGTACCAGTTATACCACTATGAAAAAGCAGGGAGGAAAGCCACAGTGACTTAAGGGCATAGGTGGAAATAAAACCTAGGTCTCTGTGCTCCAAGGACCTCTTCAAATCACTAATACAATCCCTTCCTGCTTCACCCTAAAAGCAACATAGGTTCAAGGCTTAGACATGTTTCTTAGCGTATTTATTTGTAAAGAAACAAATTCCTTATTTATCAAATATAAATAATGTTTGACCTGGATTTGCATTATGGAAGAATAAGTATATCACTGGGTCGCCCATCCTCGTTTCCCTTGGGAGTTACAAGTAGATGTACTTTATAAATAGCAATAACAATGCACATGTATCCAAGACGTTTTCTAATGTATTAAAACGTACAGTACATCAGGACATCATCACCCTTTTCTAAACCAGAAAGTAAGAAAAAAATCGAATCTATTTCTCAGTTGTATCTGCCAATGGAAAAGCAAACATATTAAAAGACTCACTGCAAAGAAATTGAATCTCAACTTACAGTATCTCCTCTACTGTAATAATGAATAATAAAACACCCCATGGATCTCATTTAAAGCCTTTGCCTGACATATGTGTGTGTGACTACCTTTATAATCATTACTGGCCTGTGAACAAGGAAAAAAATGTTCTTTAATGTTCCATTCCCACTCCTTTTTCTCATGCGGAGTGTGATTAAAACTGGATAGTAGGAAACCTTGACTTCAATTGTGTAAACTCATCCTGCAGGAA